GATGGATGGATAGCTGAATGGATAGAAAAAATGGATGGATAGATGGAAGATGGACAGATAGATGGACAGTCAAACAGATGGCTGAAAAGATTAGCACTCGCCCTCTTATGAAGTTCACCAAGGCCTATAGACACCAGCAGCTCCCTACTGTCTGAGGACTTGGAGGGAAAGAGTGTCTGCTGGGGGCTTACCTGGAAGGAGCCCAGCCCCAGTCCCAGTGGGAGGCGGATGCCCAGGCCAGCATTGTCAGGCAGGAAGTTGAAGATGATGTAGTGGTTTTCAAACAGTGGGATGAGGAAGAGTGTTGACTTGGAGAGACACCTGCAGGAAAGACATGCTCTAGGCTCCCAAGGCTGGAATCAGAGACTCCAATGTGCACAGCCCACTCTCCCTTCCCATCACCTCCTCAGACCCACTCTGTGTATAGCCACCTGGCATCTCTGCCTCCCACACTCACCCTGGGCTTCCTTACTTCAGGACCCTGGATCCTGCTGTTCTCTCTGCCAAGTGCTCTTGTCCTAGTGTATTCCAAAATCTATGCATCTTTCAAAGTCTAGTTCAAAGACTGCTTCCTCCAGGAAGTCTTCCTTGCCCTTTCCCTCTCCTCATCTAGAAAGGATCTCCTGCCCCAGGCTTCCCTAGAAATTGATTCCAGCACTCATTGGCATGGCAATTGGCTATTTGGAGTCCCGATCCTTCCAAATGTGGTCTCCTAGAAGATAGGGACCAACTCTATTCTCTCTCTGGGAATATGGGGAAGAGTATAGAGATGGGACCCGGAATATCTGCTGAATGAGACAGAAACACACTAAAGTCCCTCAGTTACCCTCTCTCAGTGTCCAACACAAACACACACACACACACACACACACACACACACACACACACCACTGTACCAGTACTGGGACTGGGTGTGGAGGCTGCCCTGAGCCAACTCCAGCTTCCTCAGCAGGATGCGGATAATATTGAGAAAAAGTCCAAAGTTCACCTGTGAACAGAGGCATGGGCGGATGGAGGGTAAGGGTCAGGTGTAGCCCTGGATGGCCTGAGATGGGGCCTCAGCACTTTGGGGGGCTAGACTCCTGAATCCTTGACACACAGGGATGTGCAAGTGGATGGACGCACAGACAACCACCCCAAAACTTGTAGCCTGGAGGCTGGGAGGTCCCATGTGCAAGCCAAGGAGAGCAGAGGAGGGCTCAAGCACCCCCCTCCAGTCCTGGGATCAAGGCAGGGAGTGTCAGGTCTTGCCGCGGGCCTCCTGCTGCCTCCCAGGCTCTTCTCTAGCACAAAGCAGGTGCCCCTCACTTTGCACAATTGCTAAGCTGAGAAAAGGTTGCACATGTGAAAAGGTTGCACATGTGAAAAGGTTGCACATGAGAAAAGGTTGCAAGCCACGTGAAATGGTCCTCACTGCCTCTGTGTTCTGTGTGGGAGCTGGGGAGAAGGTTGCACTCAGCCGTAGCCTCCGCCTACTTCCCCCCACCCTCAGTCTCTCCCAGCAGTGCTAAAAGGTCTTCAACCAGCTCACCAGATCATCAAAACTCTGATCTACAACAGCCTGCCTTCTGGTTGAGAACACCCCTCTGGTTACCAATGCGCTACTGAGGCCCAGAGAGGGTCTCACAGACACTCAGCAGCAGAGCAAAGCTGGAACCCGGGTATCCCAACTCCCACCCTGGCCATGCTCAGCCCTTTGGTGGGTTCAGGGAGGTTCACTGAATAAAACCCAGGGACTGACCCCCACAGAGAGGACAATGGGCCCTTTGATGATCCACCAGTAGGGGGAGCTGTTGTCTAGGTCCCAGCACCTCTGGAGCCAGGACAGGAACAGTGACTGCAATATCCCCTGTTCTGTGACACCCCACATGCCTCCCGCTGTCTCCTCTCTGGCACTCACATCCCTGGTCTCACCCCACCTGCCTTCCAGCCCTCTTTCTTGACACAACCAGTCAGCATCCCCTGAAAGGGGCGCCCCAATCCAGGCTGGGCCCACCCTTTCTCTCCACCTCATTGGATAAACATCTCTAAAGTCGGTGGATTTGATGCCTCCTTGTTGGTCCCAGGACTTACCTTTTTCCGGACAGTCCCACTCCACCGGGTAACCCTGAACCCCCCTCTCCTACCCAGTCCATGTCCTTTCTGGGGCATCCACAGCCTGCCTTCTGGTCTCCCATCCCCCAGTCTAGTTGGGAAGTCCCTCCTTTCCTCTTCCCAGCCTGCCTGTCTGTCCCACACCCCATGCTGACTCACGCAAGATCCTCGAAGGCCAGCTTACAGACCACCCACGTGCCAGTGAAGAACACAGGCAGCCCTGTGGGGGCATAGAGGAGACAGAGCAAGGGGGGTCTACATACTTGGCTCTGAGATCTGTCCCCCAACCCCACCACCAGCCACACAGCACACTGCAAAGGCAGGAGCAGGTACAGGCCACAGCCAGGGACTAGTCCTGCTCTCTAGCACCTGCTGCAGGGCTGCAGCCATCCTCACATTTCCCTGGGCCTTAGCATGAGGTGAAGGGGCCTTTAAGTGAGCTCCCTGGGCCTCCCCAGCCCTCGGTCTCCCTAGTCCTCTACCTCCCCATGGTGTCCCACTGGTCCCCATGCTCACCCCAGCCAGCAGCAATCAGTCACCAGAAGGCTCTCCTTGAGCTGAGGGAAGTGGAGGCCAGGAGGCAGTTCAGGTAGATGGCTTCTGCCGACAGCCAGCTGAAGTTGGTCATGGTGGCAAAATGGGAGGTAGCCACGGAGACCTTGCACAGAGCCTGGGGGCCAGGATCTGGCTGCTTCAGAGCTGGGACACCCATGGAAGCCCCCATCCAAATCTCCCCTACCCCACTCAGACCTGGAACCTCCGGGCCCTGCCACCTCAGTCTGGGCCATTTGATTCCTTGGGCTTCCCAGAAGGGCTGAAGTAGTATAAGGTGATGGCTAAGGCCATAGATGTGGGTTGGGGACAGCTGGGCTCCGATGTCCTGTCTATTGGCTATGCAAACCCCTCATGCCTTGGCTCGCCATCTGTGAAAGGAATCGTTCCCAGAACCTGGTTTCTGTCCTTGTTCATGACTCATGGGAGTCAAGGGAAACTCTAAGAGTCACTTCTGCTTTTACTCTCACACCCTCCTTCCCCAGAGCTATGACTAGGGAACAGAACCCATTCAGGCCCAGCTCTGTCTGCAAACACACTGTACCACCCACGCATACATTCACTTGCTGCATGACTTGCTCGCCTACCAGGCGAGTGGGACCACCTCTGAGCCCAGACGACCCAGGTTTGGCCCCAGCCCCTCTGCCCACTACCCCCATTTAAATACCAAGCTCTGGGGCTGGTGGCACTCCCCCAACAAAGCCACGAACACTCCAGTGGCTGGCGGGAGCCTCTGCTCCAGCACCAGCCACCTTCCCCCATGTGACACCGAACCTGCCTCCCCTGCCTGCCCGGAGACCCCTTAACAGCACGTCAGCTTCTCCTCCTGGCCTGGGGAGCCTAGTTGCTACCTGGACATCTGCCTTCTCCCCATGCCATGGGGCAGGCTATGGGCGGACTTCCTCTCGGCCCAGAGAAGGGACCCCTCTGGCCCCCTCGCCCCACCCTCTGCCTCCCGCTTCCTCCTCTTCTGCCCCAGCGCCCCCAATGAGGTATCCCTATTCATCCTCTAGCAGTAGCTCTGAGGCTGCCTCCTCTTCCAGCTCTGCCGCCGCCCAGTACCCAGCTTACCAGGCGCTGCCCAGTTATCCCCACTCTTTCCCTCCCCAGGCAAACCTCTCTGTCTCCAACCAACCCCCCAAGGACACCCAGTGTTTTCTCCAGTCCCAGGCAGTGTGGAGTCAGGGCTCTCCTCCAACTCCTCTGTATGGCCGCTTCTTAGTCAACAGCAATGCCCACCACAGCCCCTTCCCGCCTCCTGCCAGGAGCCAGGCCAGTGCCCACCTGCCAGTCCCAACACACCAGGCAGCAGCAGCATCACGGGACCTCTGGGGCCCCTCCCGGAGCGTTTCTCCACCCTTTGGAGAGCAGTGGCTCTCACCACGCGCACCCCTATGCCATGTCACCCTCCTTGGTGTCTCTGAGGCCCTACCCTCCCAGGCCAGCACACCTGCCACGGCCGCATGGCCAGGTGTCCTACAGCCAGGCTGGCCCCGGCGGCCCTTTGGCCTCGTCCTCTTCCGACTCCCCCATTTCAATACCAAGCTCTGGGACTGGTGGCACTCCTCCTCTCAAGGGTCCTACCCCTGCTCGCAACCCTCCCCCTCCCAGTGTACCCAAGGGGCGCCCTACCCCTTCCCACCAGTGCCCACGGTCACCACCTCCTCGGCCACCTTCTCCAGGGTCATCGCCACCATGGCTTCCTCGTCAGCAGGGTACAAGATGGCCTCGCCGCCTGGGACCCCGCCATACACGAAGCGAGCCACGTCCCCGGAGGCCTACAAGACGGCCACCCCGCCTGTGTACAAGCCGGGCTTTCTCCCGGCCTTCCGAACGGGGACACCGCCGGGCTACCGAGGCGCCTCGCTGCCCGCGGGCCCAGGGACCTTCAAGCCGGGCTCGCCCGCCGCGGGCGCGGGGCCACTGCCACCAGCGGGGCGCCCAGGGCCTGCCATCTCTGCCGCTGTCGCCGCCCGCCGACCCCGAGGGCCCGGCCCTGGGCGCCGCGCAGATCAAGCAGGAGCAGGCCGAGGAGTACGAGGCACCCGAGATCCCGGCGCCCCCGGCGCCCCAGCACGCAGCCCCTCGCCCCGGCCCTAGGTGGTGGACGTGCCCAGCCACGCCAGCCAGTCGGCCAGGTTGAACAAGCCCCTAGACCGCGGCTTCAACTCCTGCGCGCGCAGCGACTTATACTTCTTGCCGCTGGAGGGCTCCAAGCTGGCCAAGAAGCTCGCCGACCTGCTGGAGAAGGTGCAGTGCGAGGCCGAGCGGTGCGCGCGCGAGGAGAAGGAGCGCGAGCGGGAGCGGGAGAAGGAGCGCGAGCTGGAGCGCAGCGAGAAGCCGGCTCAGGAGGGCCGCGCTCCCGTGCAGTGTCCGTCCCTGGGCCCCGTGCCCCACCGCCCTCCGTTCGTGCCGGGCAGTGCGGTGGCTACGGTTCACCTCTACCTGGGGCCTGACACCCCGGCCTTGCTCACCCTCAGCGAGTACGCCCGGCCTCAAGTCATGTCTCCCGGTAACCGCAACCACCCCGTCTACGCGCCCCTGGGCGCGGTGGACCCGGGGCTCCTGGACGACAACGTCCCGGCCCTGTACAGCAGCGACCTGGCTGCCCGGGAGCGAGACCGCCGCAACCGCCTCAAGCCGAGCTTCGAGGTGAAGCCTAGCGAGCTGGAGCCCCTGCACGGGGTCCCGGGCCGGGCCTGGATCCCTTCCCGCGACACGGGTGCCTGGCCCGCCTGGCCTGCACCCTTTCCCCTTCGCCTGGAGCGAGAACGGCTACCTCTGGCGTCCGGGCCCGCCCTGCGTCCGGACGTGTCCTACGCGGAGCGGCTGGCGGCCCAGAGGCAGCACGCGGAAAGGGTGGCAGCCCTGGGCCACGACCCGCCGGCGCGGCTGCAGATGCTCAACGTGAATCCCCGCCGCCACCCGCACTCGCACATCCACTCGCACCTGCACCTGCACCAGCAGGACGCCGTCCATGCAGCCTCTGCCTCGGTGCACCCTCTCATTGGACCCCTGGCCTCAGGGTCTCACCTTACTCGGATCCCCTGCCCAGCTGGGACCCTCCCTAACCCCCTTCTTCCTCACCCTCTGCGCGAGAACGAAGCTCTTCGTCACCAGCTCTTTGCCGCCCCCTACCGGGACCTGCCGGCCTCGCTCTCCGCCCCGACGTCCGCGGCGCACCAGCTGCAGGCCACGCACGCGCCGTCCGCCAAGCTGCAGCGCCTGTCGCTGGAGTAGCCGCAGTGACCGCACGCCCACCGCCCGCTGCACAGCGTGCTGCTGCCTGCCCAGGAGGACTACTACGGTCACCTGAAGAAGGAGAGCGACAAGCCGCTGTAGATCCTGCGATAGAGAGCGCATCCGTGGCTTCGGCGCCTGGACCTTGGAGGCCCCGGCCTGGCCCCAGCTCCGCCGGGGTCGGCGCCGCCAAGCCGCTGGGCCTCGGCAGCTGGGCGGAGGAAGCGGGGGAAGGACGGACGGACCAAAGGCAGGGGCCGAGGGGTGTGCGGAGGTGGGGGCAAGGGCGGGGACAGCACGCGCACGGTGTCTCAGACCACGCCCGGCCCCTCTTCCTTGCTCCCCCTGCTTTCCTCCTCCCGCGTGCCCCCCTTCGGTGGCCGCTCCCCTCCCTGTTGGTGTGATTATTTCATCTGTTAGATGTGGCTGTTTTGCGTAGCATCGCGTGTCGCCCCCGCCCCTGCCCACCCAGCGCTCTCGACCCCTCTACGATGTATGCCCCGCCCCTCCCCACATTAATAATTTAAATATATAAATATCTTTATGACGTTCTTTAAAGAACATTCCCACCGAAACCAACAAAAAAAAAGAAAGAAATGCATTATAGTAAATATATACCTTTTCTTCTCTTAAGATTATACTATTGGAAGTGCCTCGCTTTTACTCTGTGAATTTTTTTTTCTTTTCTTTTCTTTTTTTTTTTGAGTTGGAGTCTCACTCCGTTGCCCAGACTGGAGTGCAGTGGTTTCTCCTGGCCACCACAGCCTCGACCTGCTGGGCTCCGCGATCCTTCCGCCTCAGCCTTCCAGGTAGCTGGAGTTACAGGCGCGCGCTACCACGCCCGGATGATTTTTGATTTATTGTAGAGATGAGGGCTCGTCAAGTTGCCCAGGAGAGTCTCGAACCCGTGGGTCAGGCAATCCACTCACCACGGCCTCCCAAAGAGCGGGATTACAGGCTGAGTCACTGAGTCAGCTGTTAAATTTTACAGGGGTTGTAAATCCAGCAGCAGTAACTTTTCCACCGAGATTGGGAATGTTTAAGTCAATTTGAGCATTCAAATGATCTTTCTATCAGTATTTCTCAAGTGTATCTCTTTTTTGTCTATGACTTGTGAATCTCATAAATCAATAAAGTTCTATCAATGTTTATATTCCTAACCATGAATTATACCTCATATCTTTATAATAAAAAATTAAAATTTTTTAAATTTAAGAATTGTGAAGTTCAAGTGTGAATTTACTATATAGGTAAATTGCACACAGGTGGAGTTTGGGTTTCTAGCTGGTCCTCTGTCCTCCTGACAGTGGACCAGATACCCAGGGTGTTGCTATGTGCTCCCCTCCTTACTTTCTCCATAACTCCCCTAGCAGTGTCCACCATCTGACAATCTCACCTTTGTGCTAGTGTGACTAATATTCAGGGCCCGCTTATGAGTGAGAATATGCAGTATTCACTTTGTTTCTGCAATAGTTCACTTTGTAAGATGGTCTCTAGCTTCATCCAAGTTGCTGTGAAGGCATGACTTTTTTCTTTATAGCTGTATATTATTTCATCATGTATATATGTACCACATTAATTTTATCCAGTTCATTGTTGATGAGTATCTGTATTGGTTCCATGGTTTTTGCGATTATGAACAGTGCTGTAATAAACATGCATGTGCAGGTGTGTTTTTTGTACAGCAAATTATGTTCCCCTGGTTCTATCCCCAGGAGGGAGATTGCTCAATTTCAATTTTTAGTTCTTTGAGAAATTACCACACTGCTTTCCATAGAATTTGAGCTACTTTTTATTTGATTTTGATTTGGTTTTCTCTCTCCCTCAACATTCAACTCTTAACAAATATATGCTTGCAAAGCATTTAGAATATGCTGACATAAACTAAGCATTTAATCAATAACAGATATTAGTATAATAAAGTGGATTGCAGCTAAGTAATAACAAGGAGATTGGGAATAATTTCAAAGATATATTAACTCTTCTATGAGATATAAACATCCCTGAAATTTATTCATTTTTATTTACTAAATTAGGCATTTAACAAATATCACTTAATTATTAGAGTTAGAAATGTCAATAAATATTAGGATTAAAAATATGAAGTCTCTTATAGTGTGCTTAAAGAAAAACAACTCTACCATCTACCATTTATATGCTTCTATGTTCTTGTTTATTCTTTTATAAATAAAAATAATACCAGTCTAAAATCAAACACTTTAAATAACATCTGTTAGAACACATGGAAATCTCAGAAAATTAAATCACCCATTTCCAAATCAACAAAATCAATGAATTAATGTGAATAAAAATTATGTTCTTATACAGTGTGCACACACAAACATACCAATGATGCTGGAAATTTTTTTTTAAATTCAGAACATAAGAAAACACTATGTTCTTAATATGTAATGAAATAGGTACTTTTACCATACTAATATTCATAAACATTATATTTTTCAACATTTGCAGGTGTGTCCATTTAAGCACATCTTTAAATTAAAAGTAAATTCACTGGAAGGAAAATGTGCATACCTGAAATGTTACCAAACATGTGCATTAACTACCAGTAAATACTTACAATAGTCAAATTTTCATAGGCATGTAAAGCTGTTTGAATTATTTACGGCCACAGTCAGCGCTGTGTGTTAAAAAAAACAGTGAAATCACTGTGACATTGCAGAAAAAATGTCTATTGTTTTCTCAGAAATGTATGCATTTGCAAGATGACTCTTCTGATCCAAGTCAAGATCAAATAATCTCAATATGTTTTGATCATGTATTTGTAGTCAGTTTGAGGTTGGTTGGTTATATGCTGACTGGTCTAGAAAGGTCTTGACTGGCATGATCCAGCTCTCCTCCATGTGATCTCTCATATACTATGGGATTAGTCTGGGCTTGTTTTCATTACAAAGACAGATCACTAAAAGAGATAGAGATGAAGCACACAATGCTTCTTGACCTTGACCTTTTGGGTCTATAAAATGGCAGTATCTATTGTGATGCATTCCATTCAACTGGCAATACAAATCACAAGTTCAACCCAGGTTTAAGATGAGGGGAATAGAGTCTATCTTTTGTGATAGAAGGAGCTGTGAAGTCAAAAAGAAAAGTGGATATAAATAGAGAAGGATAGAAATTGGGGTTATTTATGTAATTCTACCAATTTGCTTCTCAGAATGCCAACTATCCATAGAATACACAGAGGATCATATATTTGATATAATGTGGTATATTGTAATAAGCTGAAAGTTTCTTTTTCCTTGAAAATGTGCTTATTTGAGAAATACATTCTTTAGTAATCCAGTGTAATATTGTAAAAAACAGACATGATGTAAAACTACTCAAAACTATATTTCCAACCAAATAGGCAATAGAAAATTCACTTTAGTTGTAATTGCATTACAGCCTGCAAAGGCTGTATTTTTTGTCATTAGAGTCAATAAAGCAATTTATCAATTAATAAGCATTTGTCTATGTGGATATGGCTTCATGAATTTTAAACATGGTGAGAAATTTCTATATTACAACTTTAGTCAAACAGTAGTTTCCTGCTATTAGCAGTGACACATTAAAACTAGCTTTTAAAAAAATAATACACGTCATTTCTTAGTAGTTAATATCTGTATGTTTAGTGAATTGTCTTACTGAATTTTTTCAAAAGTAATCTAAAAAAGGAAAAAATACATAAATTAACATTTCAATTTTGTTGAACTCTCAAGCAGGTTCAACTTGTGTCCAGCAAAATATGACAGTGTTATTCATAGAGCTATTCCCAATAGGCAGTTTGTCTTCTTCTTTCTGGCATAGAATAGATATAATTTAAAAATATACATTACTCAAATAGAATGTGAAATGACCAAAAGATAGAGGAAGAAAAGAAGAAAGAACAAATGCAGTGAACAGACAATGGTACAATTATGGTAGATATTAATCTACCTATTGATTATTAATTCAAGTGGTTATTATTAATCTTTTAAATGTGAGTGGTATAAATACCATCAAAATAAATTAAATGACAGGTTTTTAAGGAATGAATAAAAATACAAAACTCAGTTATAATTTTCTATAAATTGCCTATTTTATATATTAAAAGCATAGATAGGTTAAAAGTAACCAGCAGGGTAAAATTATACCATGCTAATACTAATCTAAAAAAGTTAGACTAGCTGTCTTAGTTTCAAACAAAGTAGAATTCAGAACATTACCATGGATAAAGAGGAACATTAAATTATGATTCTCACAAAATGGATCTTTTTGGAGAATTCAAGATATAGCAAATTTTAATGTGTATGTATCTAAAAATAGAGCATCAAAATGCATACATAAAAACAAAACAAAAAAATGAAAAAGACAAATCTACAAATTATCTAATATACCTACAAACTTCAACATTCTCCTCAATAACTGATATTGATAAAATAAGCGTGTATTAAATCTATTAAACCATAGTATACTTTATTGATATTACCAATCAACACATCAACATTTATAGAATATTTAAAAACTAAAATATACATCATTCCCGGTTCACATAGGATAGCCACAAAGATGGACTAAATTCTGGGTCATAAAATGTACATTTAATATTTTTATAAAAAGAATTATGCAAAATAAGTCCACATAATGCAATCAAATTAATTGGAAATGAACAACAGAAATATATAGCTGAATGATGCCTAAATATTTGAAGAATAAAAAACACACTTCTAAATAACACAAAGGGCAAAAAAGATGCCCCAAAGAAAGAAATGTTTAAAGCATTGTAAATTAAATGAGAATTAAAATAGAATCAATTTACCCATCCATCTTAGAAAACTAAATAAAAATTTCTAATTTAGGTTTAAAGCAAGCAAATAAAAAATATAACAAAGCAAATATCAATTACAATGAAAACAAAAAATCAATACATGTAAAATCTCTCTGTGTGTGTGTGTGTGTGTGTGTGTTGTGTGTGTGTGTATGTTTAAGCTTACTAAAATCTATAAATTTCTCTCCAGGATAACCAGAAATAAATGAAACAAGACACAAATTACTATTGCCAGAAATGGAATGAGCATATTAGTTTCCAGGTTCTTGTTTCTAATGTCATTTTATAATAA